ATTCTTTGGGGAGGGGGCAAGAGCACCTAAAATCTAATCATTGAGCACAAATCCCGAGTCCAGTAACCGAGGACCGCCAGGCCAGGCGTCTTGTTGTAGGTTAGACTCTGGACTTGCTACTTTGTGTCCTTTGACCCAGATCTCCTGATTTCAAGGCAGAGTTTTATGGTCCTAGAAAAGAAAGTGTCTCCTGTAGTCCAGGAGGCAGGGAGCATGCCTGGGAAGAATTGAACTTGAACCAGGAGTTGGCCCGAGGAAGCAGGTTGGGATTCGGCTCTCGCCAGGCGGGCGGGGCAGGAAGGGGCTGTGCAGGGCCCGCTGGCCAGTGGGGGGGTCGGTCCCCACTGCTGTTCCTGCTGCCCCCCCCTTCGGGTCAGCTGCTCTGTGGTTATCTCTATAGGAGCCCATGAGACCTGTCCCTGACAGCTGGGGTGACAGGGATGGGGCAGTGACATCTATCTCGGGGAAGGCGCAGTTGGGATCTGGTGAGCACTTCCTTCCGCCTGAGCAGAAGCCGTCCGTTTGCCCGCAGACGCTCACCGGGTTGTGCCCCTGCGATGCCTGTGGTTAGGTGGCCCCTCCCCCAGGGAAGCCCGAGATGTCACAGAGGAGGGTGGTTGTCACCTTCTCTCAAACAGGGAAACCAGCTTTATCAGTCATCAGAGAGTGGAGCCAGCCAGCTGGATACTTGGAGGAGGGACCCATTCCAGCCCTTCTGGGGGAGATGGTCTCTGAATTCAGGGTCCCCTGAGAGCGATGAAATGGGTTTGTGTCCTCTGAGACCTGGTTTGTCCCCGCCAGGTGACTGGCTGGCTTAGTGGAGCATCTGATCCAGGCTGACGTGTCCGCGGATGGTGACGGGGTCCTGTGCCTGGGAAGCAGAGACGGGTGTGTGGCCCTCCTGCAGCCTGAAGGAGTAGAGTAGGGGACCGAGAGGTTGACACCAGGGCTCCCCACCCAGGGGAGCAGACGTTCAGGTGGTGACTGTGATAACAGTGAGCTGGGGAGGGCGGTTTCCTTCGCTGAATGTTTGCCTGGCACCAGCCACGTGGGGGGGGGGGGGGGGCGGGGGGGACTAGGAGGACCAAGCCTCGCTGAATACAGCAACCCCCAAGTGAAAGGCTGCTACTCTCTCCTGTCACCTGTTTTATTGAAAATAATAAGAGCCAAGACAATAGATTGCATAAAAGTTAAACTTCCAAGAAGTGGCTGGAGTAGGAGTTGGGGTTCCGTGGTGACTCTGATGGCTGTTTTCTTAAGTCTTTGCCCAACTCAGTCAATAATGTCTCAGCCTAGCTTCACCTCGGCCCACCCTGCATCCGTTCATGCCTGCATGAATATATCCATCTGTCTGTCCATCTGTCATCCACCCACCATCTACCATCCACCCATCCACTCATCCATTCATCCGTCCATCCATCCACCCGTCCATCCGTCTACCCACCCACCCATCCATCCTCCACTCCAACATAGTGGGCCAGGCCCCGGGCCCAGCACAGGGACCACCTTGGTGAACAGGAAGCGCGTCCCTCCAGCCCTCCTGGAGGCAAGGATTCGGGGTGCACTTCTAGGTGCCCCTCACAGTTGAGGTTCCTCTCACATGTCTGCCCAGTTCTTGCTGCTGATCCCCTTTTCCCATGGTGGCTTTGTGGACCCAAGAGGAAGGTTTCCTCTGGAAAGCTGGGAGAGAGAAATAGCATGGGCCAGGGCTCATGAAGGTGACAGGTCCCCGTTACCCCAGAACTGGCATTCCTGAGGCCTGGACCACTCTGCTCCTGGGGTCCAAGGTCTTCATCTTACATCTGAAGCGACGAGCCGGGAGGTGTGGGGCAGTGCCAGGCGGAGGCCCAGAGGCTGCCTGTGGGGTTCGGGGCAGGGCGGGCCCTGGCAGCATCTGCTGGACCTGGCACGCCACTTCCTGTCTCTGCTTCCTCATCTGCAGCTTGGGGCCCAGGAAGGCACCGACTCACAGGACTCTGTGACCAGGTGTCACTGGGCCCACCCTCCTTATCTGCTCTGCCTCCTGGTGCCCACACCAGGGAGACGCTTGCAGGAGGGGCCTTGGATCTGCCCATGCACGGTGTCAGAACCACCAAGCACAGAAACGCAGGGACGGGTAGAAGTCCTGAGATGTGCCAGTCCTGGGTCCTCGTCCCTGCTTGGAGTCTAATGGCCATGCTGGGAAGAGTCGCACCCCAGACCATCCAGTCCCCCAGACCCACCGCCATCTCCTGCAAGGTCCCCGGGCACTTGTGACACGGGACTGGCCCCTCTGGGCTGCTGAGCTTGCAGCCTGTTTGGAAGACGTCTCTTGTCACTGGGAAGAGCCAAAAATACCTGTGGTCACCTGTCAGCTGTCCCCTTGTGCCATATTCGTAGCATTGATTCTCCCTAGCTGCGGTGGCCCTCCCTGGGCCTGGTGGAGGATTCCTCCGCTTCCTCCTTGCCCTGGGGGACACCCAGAATATGCAAATTCTCACGGCATCAGGCCATCGAAGGGCGCACCCCCTGGACAAGAGTGCAGCCCCGCGATCCTGCGTGTGCTCAGCCGGGTTCCCCTTGGTGGGGAGCGTGGGGGTCAGGGTGGCTTACGTCATCCTCCCCCCAAGGTTTGCCCATGCCCTTGCACCCCGAGGAGCTGTGCCTAGGGAAGCTGGGAGTCATTGGAGATAAGGGCAGGGGGACCCGTAGAACATTCCAGAACACGTTGACTCTGATCCTAGCCCTGTCAAGGATGATCTGTGAGTTCAGCTCTTTGTGTCTTTGTGGCCAGACAAGGCTGATAAGCCCACCTCCCGCTATGGGTCTGGAGGGTTCAATTTGATAAGCGGATGGGAAAGTGCGTGGACGCTCAGAAAGCCCCGGGAGAACCGCAAGAGGGGACTCATTCTTAAAAAAGAAGACGGTCAGGGCTGGGACCTTTGTCCCCCTGCCCCCCACTCCTGCACCCGCCTGTGGAGTCAGCACACGTGGGTCACGGGCCACTGTGTGCCCAGCTCGGTGTGAAATAGGGGAGCACAGGAGTGCGTCTGCTCTCCTGGGGAGGACCCAGTGGACCGACTGACTTGTTTGCAGCACGTGATGGCAGCAGTTGAGGTCCCGAGAGAAAATTAGAGGCCGTGGTCGAGGGTTGATTTTGGACGGGGAGATGTTATCTTTCTTCCTTTGTTTACTTACTTTGGACTTATTTCATATATTATTGGGGGTGAGGACTTCTTTGGACGGCTGGCTTTTGCCAGAGTCATTACAGACGAGCTCTGCGGATCCCAAACGCAGCGTGGACACTGATCTCAGTGTGGCACTGATTACAGGGGTGACCTGGGCAACGGTCCTCAATCTAACGTGTTTTATAGTCTCTATTCATGTATTTCATATGGGTACAAAATTCATTTAGTTCCTAAATCTTGTATATGTTCTTTCAACTGCCTTTCTTTTCTTTTCTTTTTTGGTACCAGGGATTGAACCCAGCAACTCTAACCACTGAGCAACATCCCCAACCCTTCTTATTTTTTACTTTTAAGACAGGGTTTCCTTAAGGTGCTTAGGGCCTTGCTAAGTTGCTGAGGCTGGCTTTGAACTTGAAATCCTCCTGCCTCAGCCTCCCAAGCCGCTGGGATGACCGGCGTGCGCCACCACACCTGGCTAACATTGACATTTTCTGTTTTTCTTTTGATGATTTTATTTTGAGACAGGGTTAAGTTTCCTGGGATGGCCTCCAACTTGGCAATCCTCCTGTCTCAGCCCACTGAGTCGCTGGCATTACAGGTATGTGCCACTGTGCCCAGCTTACCTGCTTTTATGTGTGTGTTGTTGTTGTTTTAGCCAAAAAGTATTCTACGCACATTTTCCCAGGTGTACAGCTTGGTAAGGTTTGACAAACTGGTCACACCCCAGGAACCCACAGCCAGAGCAGGAAAGAGCACTGACAAGATCCCAGGTGCCTCCTGCCTTCGCGTCAGGAGTGACCATCTTAAAAGATTGTTGATAGCAGTGTATTCCTTTAAATGTGTATTAGGGGAAATACATAAGCGTAGTAGCCATTCCATCAAAATGACACATTGCTTAGCCTGTGGGAAAAGTGGCGTTGAAGCAAAAAGAAGTTAGTTAACAAAGTGAAGATGCTGAAGTTGTAGAGCCAAGTGCCAACCTGGATTCTAACCTGGATCCCAGCTTGGTTTGGTGAATGACTATCTGGGACGTCCAGAATGGCTAAGGTTTGGGAAGCACTGATGCTTAGACTGCTGGGAGATCTTTGGCTCTTCTGGTAAACAGCTGTGCTGCTTTGTTCTAAAGTTCAAGTGGGAGGGGTTGAAGTTAGACATTAGGAGGGACTGTGCTCTGGCTCCGCTTGAGTGGAAGTCCCCATCATGGGCCTACTCAGTGGTCTCAGTGGCCATCTGTGTTGCTCCTACAGTTCTGGAAACTGATTGTCCCCAGCACAGCTTCTGTGACTGGGTCTGGGCTCCTTTCCTGTACCCTTTGGACTTACCACCGTGCATTCACTTTCTGTTGAATATCCGTACCCTGGTCCCCTACATGGCGGACGTGGAACTAGCCATGATGAATGACCGTGTTAACCCCTAAAGGACACTGTCGTTCTGAGCCAGGCAGCCGAGCTACGCTGGACGTTCGGAGCCGTTCCCAAAGGCAGGAGACCTCTGGGGAGCTAGCCCCCAGATGCATTGCCCCGTGCATCACCAGCCATCGGAATTGATGGCCACTTCTGTCCCTGAGCCTCCAAGGGCGACCCCTGTTCTGACTTCTGACCCCCACCGGTTATTTTGTGTCTCCGTTTGGGAACAGAATCCCTCAGTCTCATCCCGGCTTAAGGCCGTGTCCATGAGAGTCATCTGTTCCCGAGCTCAGTAGGCCACAGCCCCTGGGCCTCACCCGCCAGCTGCTTCCATAATACCTGTGAGCTCAGAGCAGATTTTGCATTTGTAAATGGTTGGGCCAAAAAAAAAAAAAAAGAATTTTTCATGACATGTGAAAATGACATTTGTGTCTACCAATAAAGCTTTATTGGAACGCTGTCCCGTGGGTGCCCTTCCAGGCTGGCCGTGACTCGTTTGGCGCCACCGTGGCTCAGTGGAGCCGGAGACTGGCCTGCGGAACTTAAAACACGCACTCTCCAGACTTTCTAGGAAAGTGTGCTGGCCTGGTGTCTGCAGGGGTCCTGGGACTGTGGGACTGTCCCCAGGCACTGCTGTCCCGCTGGGAGGCAGCACAGTGGACATCTCGATCCTGCTCTGGGCACACGTGGAAGTTCCCGGTTTGGGGCCACCCTGCGTAGCGTCGCGGTGGCCACTCCTGTGCGTGTCTGTTGGTGACCTGTGGCACACACTTCTGCTGGGCTTCCCCACGGGAGCAGAAGTGTTTTGACCCTGGTTTTCAGCCGTTGATGGGGCAGTTGCATTTGCAGTTGGGAGCCTCACCTTTCCTGCTAGGGCGGGGAGCTTGGGGACGCTGTCCTCTGTCTGGCAGATGGGAGAATCCTCGGACCCGGGACGCGTTCCCGGGTGGATGGCTGTTCCTCCATTTCGGTTTCTTGGAGGATGCCAGGAGCTGCCCGATGGTAACTGCTCTCGTTGCCTTTGGGATCCGTGCCGTCCTCTGATGTCTCATACCCAGAGCCATCTTGTCCAAAGGGCTCTTATCTCGATGCACAAAACAGGGCTGGCAGAATGAGGCTCCCCCCAGACCCTGTCACTTCCTGGTTTGATTGGCGTCTGTTTATCTCCGGCTCCTCTGGTTTTCTTGCTGGGAAGCAGATGAACACAGCCTCACAGCCCCGCTCGGCCCTCGCGCCCTCAGTGCATGCGTCATTCTACATCCAGACGCTGGGCTGAGATGTCCCCTGGGGGACTGTGGACGTTGCGTGCAGGGCCACAGTGTGAGCGCAGGAGACCCCTGAGGAGCTGCCTTCCTGCACCTTGTCAGCGCCGCTTAGCACACAGGGTCCTGCATCTGGCTCTGACTTGGCCCTTCTCCACTTGCCGCCCCACCTCTGCGGGCCCAGCCACCAACAGCCCCGGGAGCAGGAGGTCAGGAGGCTCTAGGAGCCCCTCGGCTTCCAGGTTCTCTTGGCACTGGCTGGGAAAGGGACTTCGCGTTCCTTCTGGAGCCTGTCACAGAGTCACATCAGCACAGCCCCCCCCCCCGGCCACCCGCCTGGCCAGCACTGAAGTCTGGCTGTGTCGCGCGCCTGTCCTTGGGCTCTGCCCTGAGCAGTGAGCAGACTCCAGCTGTCACCGGAGAAGGCGGCTGGCGGCGGTCGCGGTATTTCTTTTGGATGAAGTTTGGATTATGTGCTGGAAGGGCTAGTGGCCTCGAGACCCAGTGGCAGCCAGAATCTGCTATATTTGACGCTGTCTCGGGACGCTTCGTTTTAGTTTTTAAAACAGGGCTGCTGAGCCGCAGTGCCACCCTGGGTTCTGAGCCCAGGGTCTGGGATTCCTAGACGTGAGGCGCTGGACCCTGGATTCTGGTTGTAAGGTCCCCCCTGCAGCTTGATTGTTTGTTTACTAAACATTATGATTGTAAGTATTCCTTGGGACTTTTTACCAAGGGGGTGTGTGTGTGTGCGTGCACGTGTGTGTACGCGTGTGCGCGTGTGCGCCTGTGCTCTAGGGGCGTCGTCCTTATCAAGACTGCTCTCTGGATGCTTTAAGATGGCCTCATTGAAATCCATGCTTAACTTGATCTCAGACAACAAATGAGCAAATGTGTAAACAAACAAACAAACAAACAAACAAAAAGCTCCTAGATTTCCAACGTAGGGCTCTTCCAGGCCTCCTTCAGAAAACAGGGAGACGGGTTAAAATTTAACCTCTACAAGCTCCTCACATAGAAAGCTAACCCGAGAGAACCCTTCTACATCACTCTTAGGTCAGAGAAGAAATTAGGTTGGACATTGCAGATTACTCAGTGTTTAATGGAAATGAGAATCCCCCGTAGGACCCGAGAGGTAAGGCCAATGCTGGGCCCGGAGGCCAATTGATAGCCTGTTTCGAAGGCACTTTAGCTTTGGGTATTCAACAGAGAAGACTGAAGGGATTGGCAGGCCCATTTTTATTTGTTAAAAAGATCATTGAGAATTTTAAAAAGGCAGGAATCTATGAAACAGGAAGCAAACACGGTCGTATTGACCCATGAAATTCTTCGTGAGCCAATAGTGCAGAGTATTGACTCAGCTCCTCTTAGGGTGAAAGTCTGGAATAGGCTGCGTGTCCCCTCCCTCCAGCCGTAGCCAGTGCTTCTGCTATGATGACTACAGTCCAGGGACCCATGGGTAGCAGGAGAGGCCACTAGTTTCATGCTGTTGGGACAGGTAGGCTCCTGCCTAGCTGTCTTTAAAATGGCTGAGGGATTCTTGTCCCCGTGTGTGTGCACACGTGGGGCCGCCTGAGCCCTGGTTGCACATCTGTCTTCCTCCCAGCTAGGACCTGTGATCAAGATCATTTCCCACCTCCCCACTACAGGTGGTCCCTCGGGTGTGCCCCGCCCTGCCCTCTGTCTGGGGGCTGATGCCGCTCTTTCTAGCCCTTAGCAGGACCCCCTTTCCCACCAGAGCCGGCCGTGGGTCCATTGATCTCCCTGGGGTCTTCCCTGTGCATGAGCAGCACTTAGTAGGTGCTCATTAAGTGGTGCTCAGATGAGGAAGGGCCCTAAAAGCAGGAGCTATGGAGCCCACTTCAGGAATGACGTTTTAAGACCAGGGGCCAAAGATTTTTCTCGAGCCAGGCCTCGAGTCTTGGGATGCACTTTCCCGTCAGCTGCTCAGCCTTACGGACGGTACCTTTTCAGTTTATTCTTTGTTCCTGTGGATGAGGGTACATAACAGCAATAGCAGCTGCCTTTATTAAGCCTTGACTGCATGCCAAGTGTTTTGTGTTTTATGCTACCAGCACCCTGTGTTGTGGGCATTGTCGAAATCGCTGTCTTGTGGGTAGAGGAAGTGAGGCACAGAGAGGGGAAGTTACTGCCCCAAGATTGCCCAGCTGGTGAGGGACAGATCTGCCGTCTCACCCGGCCTGGCACAGAACCCATGCTCTTCACCAGCACGTCACCCAATGCTGAGTCGTCTCCATGGGATTCAGGATCAGCTGGATCTGGGTGAATCAGGGAGGGCCCCTCTCCCAGCTGCTGGCCCCGCCCCTTCCCTCTCGCCTAGTCTTTCGCTAAAGGTCTGACAGACTCACATCCCGCCTGAGGGATTCTTGTCCCTGTGCCTGAGCACCTGGGGCCATCTGAGCCCTGGTTGCACGTCTGTCTTCCTTCCAGCTGGGACCTGTGCTCCGGATCATTTCAGGGCCTCCTGTTCTCCATGCCTAGGTGATCCCCGTGGCTGGGCTCCTGCAGACAGGGTGATAGGGAGGTCCCCGCTGCAGTAAGAGCCTTCTTCCCGTCTGGGGCCGCAAACTAGGGTGCACCTCCACAGGGCAGACTCAGGGGGCCTTTGTGGCAGGAGAGAGTGGCTGGTCCTGCCCCTTACCAGCTGTGTGACTTTAGGCAAGTTATGCAGTCTCTGTGCCTCAGCTTCTTCATCTGCAAAATGGGGAGGACAACTGTGCCTGAGTCCGAGAGAGGGTGGTGGGAGAAAGGAGCGGGTTGATGTATACAGACCACTTAGTGCAGGGCCCACCCCGCGCACGTATTAATCACCATTAAGCGTGTACTATTATTATCAGCGCCGGTCCTGGCAGGAGGAGGAGGAAGAGGACTGGACAAGGGGAAGTTGGGGACTGACACCGCCGCTTGCTCCCCTTCCTCCCTCTGGAAAGAGTGGGTGGCCCTGGATTCTGTTCCCCGCTGAGCCCTGCATAGCTGTGCAACCTCCACTTGCTCACATGGCGTCTCTGTACCCATTTTCTTCACCTAAAAGTATCAGTCGTTGTAATAATGCTGATAGGGATAACTGACTTCATGGGAAGATGCACTTTTTTTTTTTTTAACTTAGTAAATAATATTTCTCAAACCTGGGATGAATTTTGCAATTGAGGTGTGTTTGCCGAATCTCCCGGGGCACGCCCTTGGGCCCCAGAACTCACTGGACGGGTGATGCGTCCCCCACGGGACAGAACTTAGCGTTCAGGAGAGGCCACAGTGTCCGGGAAGAGCCTGGCAGGGTACTGAGGTACCGACCCACTCCTGCAGCCCGGGCTGGGGGGTTCCTGGGGTGCCCCCATTTCACAGATGTGGGCTCGCGGGGGGTCTGCTGGTCTAAGCTGCAGACCTGGTCCTCAGCCCCCCACAGGCCCCTCCCCGGGACGTGGGAACGTGTTCCTGGGGACAGCCTCAGTTTTTCCAGCTACTGGTGGTCTCAGAAACCCTGCCACGTTCCCAACGCCTCTGACCATGAACTTGGCTGAGCGACAGCATTCTGGGCCAACCCCCAGACCTGCGCCTTACAGCACCCCAGGTCCTAGAGCCTTTGATAAAACAGCGCGGACACGTCCCCAGCCTGGCGGAGGGTCTGGGGGGCTCAGCTGGGTTTCCCGGCTGGACTTTGCTGAGGCCAGACGCTCTGCCCCGGGACCCCGGGGAGTCACCCAGCGGGAGCTGGTCCAGGGCTGGGCTGGCGGGGCTGGGTGGGCTCTGGGAGTGAGGGAGGAGGGAGGAAACCAGCCGTGGCCCCTGGCAGCTCAGACCAGGGCTGCTGGGCAGGGTCCCGACGTCATCCTGCGGACAGCGACAGGCTGGGGGTCTGTGGGCAGCGGGGTCCTGAATAATTGATGGCCGCTGACTGACTTGTGAAAGCCATTTGCAGAGGTGGTCTGCAGCCTCCCCAGGGAGGGGGGGTGGCAGCCAGGGTCCAGGCTCCCTCTGCCCGGAGCCCTGGGGACACGCGGGGCTCCCTCTGCTCTGGCCGAGCGAGCTTGGCTGTGGCCGCTGACCAGAGGATGGCTCTGGCCACCCCCTGCTCTGTGCAGGAGCTGGTGGCCTCTGCCGTGGTTGGGGTGGGCTGTTCCCCACGGAGGGCTGGTGACACTCGGTGCTGAGCCGGGGTCCCCGAGTTGTCTGCAGTCCTGAGCGTCTCCCTGAGACTCTGGCTGCGGCCCTCGGGGACCGTTTGGCCCTCTTGGTTTCTGGAACCTTCGGCAGCTTGGCCTGGGGCCTGGGAACCCAGGGCCTGATTGGATCCCAGCTCCACCCCTTGCTACTCACGCAAGATGGGACCAGCGACATCCCCCCTCTGGGCCTCAGCGTCCCACCTGTGAATGGGGCGGCAATGTCCCTGATTTGAAAGGTTGTTGTGAAGATTAAGTTAATATTTAAACAGAGACACGGGCTGGGGCTGGGGCTGGGGCTGGGGTGGCCTGGCCCGTGGGAGGCCCCGGTAATGAACATAAGTGCGTCCAGACGGGACCAAGCCCACCTGGTGCCTCTGAGTCCTCTCAGCAGCCCGCGGGGGAGGCAGGCTGGACCCGTAGAGGCAGAGGAGGGACAGTGGCCCTCGTGAAGTCACACAGCTGGTTTAAGGAGGGGTGCACTCTCCTTAGTGGGAAGACCTGGGCTCGGGTCCTGGGGCCACTGGAGACAGTTGGGACCCTCTGCCCAGCCCCTGTGGGCTCTCTGGAGCCTCCTGGCCCCATGTGCAAAAGAGATGACCCTACCTGCCCCGCCGGGTGCCCGTCATTGACTCATCCGTTCGGTAGTGACCAGGCGTCGCCCTGGGAGTGTGAAATATGGGCAGAGGTTCCTGCTTTGCCAAGTGGACATTCCGGAGGAGGAGGAGGACCCTCCTCAATGACGGACGCTTCAGCAGATACGTGTGCGGATGCTCCCGAGCTTGGGTGACTGGCGTTTTCTACAGAGGGACAGAGAATCCATCTTTTAGATTTTGCAGTTCAGTCTCTGTTGGGCTGGGAGGTCTGCGTGTGCGTGTGGAGGGTGCTCCCAAGTACTTTTATATGAGTTAGAAAAAAGCGCCCACTCTAGCAGGAAGCACGGGTTGACCCACAAACGAAGTCTGTGCAGAGAAAAGTCAGCCCTCCCTCTGAACAGCTCAGTCCCGACTGGAGAACAGCTGGATGAGCAGGTCCCTTTGTACAAGAGGTCGAGGTCCTCGCCCAGACTGAGCTGAGAGGCACACTCAGCTGTAGGGCTCCAGTGCTCCTGAATTCCACAGAAGGAATTCAGGATGGGTGAACACTTGTATCGTCTTTGGTGAGGACGTCCAAATGCCCCATAAGGCTATTCTGATCTAGTTTGGGAAGAGGGCGGGGTCCTGGAGTCCCTCATTTTAGGGGGGGGTGTGGTCTTGCTGAGACCAGGATGCAGAGAACTGGGCGGGAAGGGAGGAGCCGGCAGGCAGAAGCAGAGGGTCCTGGGGAGCTGTGCTCTCTGGTCAACGGTCCCTGGGGACACTTCCCCGGGCTTTACGGTAGGAGACCCCCCCCCCAGCCCAAGATCACTGAGGATCCACAGCGGGAAACTCAGGATGAGGACCAGACACTGTCGCAGCCCAGAGCGGCCGATGAGCCCACAGGGGCCTTCCCCGGTAAAAGTCGGTTTGTGGGAAGAAATGGGCAACTCGGGGTTCGTTGATTGTGATCCTCCATTGGTTCTGAGTACTGATAACATCAGTTTGATAACACATCTTTAGTCAGGGTTCTCCAGAGAGACAGGACCAGTGGGTCACGTGTGTGTCATGAGGAATTGGCTCATGGGGATCTAGAGGCTGAGAAGTCCCAAGGTGTGCATGCAGCCTGCAGGAGACCCAGTAGAGGGGGGTGAATAATTCCAGCCTCGAGCTCCGGGAAAAACTGAGTCCAAGGCAGGAAAAAGCTTGTGACCTAGCTCAAGCCTCAAGGGCAAGAGAAGCTGCCCTCACCTGAGGCTGGGCAGCCTTTTTGCTCCACTGAGACCTTCCACTGATTAGGAGGAGCCCACCACATTAGGAGGGGCCATTTATCTCAGTCAAAGGAGCATTCACTGACCTTTCCATGTTGATCTTTTCCAGAGTCACCCTCACAGACACACCCAGAGTCCTGTTGGACCAAATATCTGAGCACCTTCTGGCTCAGTCAACAAGTAAAATTAACCACCGCAAATTGGGAGGGCCCAAAAAACACTTTAGAACTTTTGATCCTTGGGTTCTGGGAGCCCTTTTTTTGGCTCACGTGGGGAGTCTGTCACAGACGGCTGTATGGCTGTCCTCTTTTCCGTATGATCCTATCTTTATCCTTGTCCATTATCTGGCACTTACTGTTGCTGAGGATTTCCTGAGGGGATACTTAATCTTGTTCATTATCTATTCTTCCGTTGCTACTTTGAGTACTTCATATTAAAAAAAAAACAAAAGTACAAAACCAAGAAAAAAGGTTCAGGGATTTTGAAGGAAGGTGGGACTTGAGGAATTGAGCAAGGGTCACAAACTCCAATGCCCTTGGGGCTGGGGCGGGTGGGAGCTGTGGAAGGAGCCCGGGTGGGGAATGCACAGAAGCTCCGCTGGGAGCCAGAGGTTCTTGGGCTCCACTGCATGTGGCTGGACGAGAACCAGGCCCAGGGTCATCTGCTCTTTATGTTTTAAAAGAAACCAGACATTTGCATTTTTAGCATAATCCCTGATGGATATTGGCAACGGATTCCATTTTTTTCCTTCTTGTTTAATGCCATGTCTGAACTAAACAAAACACTCCTCTGTGTGGATTTATCCTTTGAACCTTGCTGTCCCTGCTCATGAATGAAGTAATGAGAGTGATAATAACAAATCAATAATAATAATTTTACCAAAATGTGTAATATTTATTTGTTTTGCTGTGCGCCTGGCGTGATTCCCCGTCCCTAGCTGTGCCATCTCCTGCAGCCTTGAGAAGCCGGGAGGGCTCACAAAGGTTCACAAGGGAGGGCAAATGCCACGCCCACGGCCGATGCCACGCCCACGACCACGCCCACGGTTGCCCCACCAACAGCCACAGCCACGCCCATACCTGGCCTCAGGCCCAAAGCTACGGCCACGCCCATACAGCAACTCCCTGCAACCCACAGCCACGCCCACGCATAGTTTCAGCCCATACCCACACAGTCCCGCCCATTACCACGCCCATACGGTCCCGCCCATCGCCACGCCCACAGCTGTACTGCCACGCCCACACTCACACAGCCTGCCCACTGCCACGCCCACAGCCCCTGTCACGCCCTTGCCCACACTGTCCTGGCCACCGGCCCGCCCATATCCGCGTGCTAGCACCTGTTGGGGCTCAGCCTTTTCTCCTTCCGCTGTCTCTACCATGCTGATTGCCCCGATGCGGAAGGGTGGGGCAGGGTGGGACCTGGAACCCACCCACACTGAGTCCCGGAGTGTCCCCGCCTGGGTTGTTGCAGATCATAGCAGACAGCAGGGTAACATGCAGGAAGCCGGGTTTTATAGGGCAGTCACAGACCATGCTAGCCCTAGCCGCTTAAATATAAGTGCACCTGACCCTCCCGTGGACACCACCCGTGGACCTTAGCATCCTGGTTCGACTTCCAGACTGCACAGCTGGTGGGGACAGAGGCAGGATTCAAACTTGGGTCTGGGGGGCTTAAGGCCTCCGAAAGCTCTTCTGGTCTGGCGGTTCACGCTGACCCTGTGAGTGACAGACAGGGCCTCGGGCTCAGCATCTCTCCTGAACTTTTGTTTTCTAAATTTTCCACAGTGAACATGTGTTTCTTTAATCAGAAAAGATAACAGAAGTCATGGGTTCATTCTGCATTCAAGCTGGTAGCCAGAGCTGCGGTTGCTCCTCCTCCCCCCTCCCTCCCTCCCTTCTTCCTCCCTCCCCCTTTTCCTTCCACCCCCCCTTCCCTTTGCTCCCCACATTATTTTCTGGTTATGGCGTGTGCCAACGCGTTTTTCTCTAGGGTAGAGTTGTACATTTCTCTTTTAAATAATCTATTCAAGTAAACACAGCGTAACTAATAGCATGAGATATACACAGGTATGCCAAAAAAATATGAAGGGCTTTGGAGGGATGACTAATTTAGGATTTTCCTTTTCAGCCCTCAGACAAGAGGTGCTTATTTCCCTGGGAATGGCTGGTTTTTAAATTTTTTTTTATTATTATTTTTTTCCTGGTTTCTGGTGAGGTTCTAGAGAGCACGGAAACAGTTTCTCTGACCCATCAGTCAGCTCTGATTGATTGATGGGGACGACAGGAAGATGGTTGGAGATGCTGAGGCTGCGCCTGGGTCAGGAGGCAGGTTCTGTGGTCAGCTAGCCGTGCCTGGGGCAGATGCAGGAGGGAGAAGTGGCATCATGAGCCAGGTGTCTGCCATCGCTGACCTGGACTGGTGCTTCACCCACCTTCAGCCGTGGCGATGACCACCACGTGCGAGCAGTAGCACCCTGCGGGTATCGCGTGCTCCATTCATACCAGGCATCGCGCTAAAGAGACACATGTGCCATGTCTCATTTTGTCCCTATGACACCTCTTTGCGTTAGGGTCCACATAGTTTCTGTTTCATAGAGGAGAACACAGACACCTTGTGGGTGAGTGGCTAACACAAGACCACCCAACAGGTGAGCCATTGAGGTGGGATACGGACCCAGGGCATCTGACTCTCGAGCCCCCACCACTGGCGTCCACACTGCACGCCGGACACACAGCAGTCTCACAGGCCTGTTGAGCGTGTGTGAAGCCTGGTCTCCACTCCGCAGTCACCTTGGCCGTAGGCATTCTCAATAGTCTGTGTATCAGGGACATTGGCGTCCAGTGCACTGGAGTCTTTGTGAAGCAAAGGAGTCGTGGTCACTCTGTCTTATCACCCTGACCACTAGATTGGGCCAAGAGGGGGATATGCAGGTACTGGGACCTGTCACCTGCCAAGCCGAAGCCAGAGGACAGCACGGTCCTCATCGCTGTCTCTCCACCCCTGCGGTTAGCTTCCCTCCCTGGCCCCCATCTGATTTCTGCTGAGATTCCAGAGTAGCCCACATCCTTAGCTACTTCACTTCTATGACCATGAAGGAGCCCCCAATCGTTTTGGAAGCCTGCGCCCTTCCTCTTACACGGTGGACAGGTCTCCCCGGGTTCTGTTCATTCAATCCTTTTCTCTGAGTGTTCTTTTGGCACCTGGTGAGTGAGGGTTTTTCCTCCTGATAGTTTGTAATTTTGGTTCCACTGCTGACCTCAGGAATTCGGTTGCAAGTGTGCTTGGGTCCATCGCGACAGCTGCTGCACCAGCCTGTGACCAGCCCTTAGCCCTTTAGCTGCGGACGTTCCGAAGCCCGATTAGGCCCTGGGGGAGATGATGTTAGAGTCCAGGAAAGTGAATTTCACTGCATTCTTTAAAAACTCACCAGATTTAAGTTTTGCACACTTTTCAAAGGTCCCCCTGCCTCCAGGAACAATTCTTCTGTAACTGTCACGTGGAGATGGTACTTGGAAGGGGCCCTCTGATGCCTCTTTCTCCCTCTTCTCCCATCGTAGGTGACAGTTCCCTGGGAATCGGGCTGTTCCCCCCGCCACACCCCCCGCCCCCGTTGGGCCAGGTGGCATTTGCCAGGCTGGTGCTCTCAGACAGTACCATTCCGAGTGTTGCACTAAGGATCAAAGCACATGCCAGGCAGATGTGGGTGACATCGTGCACATTGGCTTAACGTGGGACGGTTTCCTGGAGTGGCTCCAGGAAACATTTGGTACAGATCGAGATCGCCTGTCCCCAGATGCCTTCTTGGTTTCTGCGGAACCAAATATGATTAGAGACAGAGGATGCTGGGTTTGGAGAGCGGGTTTCTGTGGCCACATGTGGGCATTCAGACCCGCGGAATGCCATTAAAGTGGCATCAGGCTGCCCCATACCCCGCACGGGCCAGAGGGCTCCAGATCGCCAGCCCCCCGTGTCTAAGGTGTTGGGGTTTGGGCAAGCAGGCTTTTATTTTCACCATTATTTATCTTTTTTCTTGGCATCATCTTCCGTGTCCTCTGCACAGAATGTTTCAGGATGTCATCTGAGGACTGCGACCCCTCCCAGAGAAGGGCCACGTTCAGAGCTGGGCTCCGCTCAGCTTTCCGCTCTGTACAAGGCAACCCGTACTCTTTGCCTGCCATGAAGGGATCTGGTGAGGATTAAATGAGATAATGCGGGAGGATTATCTAGCCTGGGCCTGGCCCCCGCCCTGGAAGCACACAAGAAGGTCAGCTCGAACAGTTATCAGCAGCCATTCTGCACGCACGGCCTTCTCCATGTTCTCCCCGGGAGCGCGCGTGTCACAGAGGGAGGGAGGTCGTCTGGATTGCTCTCCTCCCTGTGTGACCAGGCAGTTGGATAGACCCTGCTCTTCTGTCTTGGGAGTTCAACGGGGATGTCAGCTCCTCAGAGGACAGCAAGGGAGACTCACATTGTATTTCTGAACTGTCACATAGTTCTGCAGTGTATCTCTCTCTCTCTTTCTCTTTTTTGGTAATGGGGACTGAACCCAGGGTTGCTTAACCCCTTAGTCACATTCCAAGCCCTTTTAATTTTTTATTTTGACACAGTTTCTTAGGTCTTCTCCAAGTTGCCAAGGCTGGCTTCAAACTTACAGTCCACCAGCCTGAGCCTCCCGAGTCCCTGGGATTAGAGGTGTGTGCCACCACCCTGGCCTCCGGCATATCTCATTTAATCATAATGTATTGAGGCCATGTCTCAGCCCTCCTGTCCACTGGAAGTAACGTCCTCTCTGCAGTCCTACCCCTACTCCAGGAAACTCCCCAGGGCCAATCTCTGCTTTCCATTTTGATAGAATGACCTTGTTCCTCGCCCACAGCTTAGAAGCTGAATGTGATTGCAGTAGCTTTAAGTAAAATCATCAACTTCCATTTAGCAAACCTGACGTGGTCCCTACTCTGCGCGGGCCACCAGGCCTGGAGACCGGGGCATTCTGAGCTCACAGCTGCAGAACACTTTGAAGGTCAAGGTGCTGCAGTGGTTTGGGACTCTGGGGCCACACAGCCTGGGTTTGCATCCCTCCACCTCTTCCTGTCTGTGTGAGCTCAGGCAAGTGGCTGTACCTCTCTGAGCCTCCATGTCCTGATTTCTGAGATGGAAGGAAGTGAAGTTATGCGCGTCTCTTGCTTAGAAGTCATCCCAGAGGTGCACAGGGAGGGTCCAGCCGCTCACAGGCGGGGAGGGAAACGGAGTTGGTGAGAGACGGTCAGGCCCTGGCCAGAGGGCACTGGGCTTTTAGCGCACTGGACGCCCTCCTGCCTAGGCTGGACACTGGCACATAGTAGGGCCTTTGTAAATGCTGGTGGAATGAATCGTGAAGACTCCTGAGGTCCCGTCCTGTAGGGTCGTTGACCTCCCCAGCTCTGAGGTTGGACTTGGGTGCACTGACCCACAGCCGCCTGCAGTCAGGGGCAGGGCCTGGCACAGCCCGGGCCCGTGTCCTGTGGCTGCTTCCTTCTCAGCAGCTGCTGCTTCCTCTTTTAAAACTTTCTTTGTGGTAGAGAAGGCGTGGAGGTGCCGGGCTCTGCGGGGACTGGGCCTTGGAAGGAGAAGTTTCCGGAAGGTCAGGTATGGTTCCCTGAGCTTGGCCTGGGCTTCTGGGGGCGCCCCTCTGGCCCTGCCCTTCCGTCCACTCCAGGGTCTGTGTGGCAAGTTGGCGTTGGTGAGTCTGGTGCGTCACTCCAGGGCAGGTCCCAGGGTGCTGCAGGTGTCCCCAGGCCTCGCGTTGGGCCCCTGCCTCGGGTCAGGTGGCGCCAGGCGGGACCCTGAGCGTCTTCCCCAGAGGAATCCCAGGGCATCGCCCGACTGCCTGAGTCAGGGGCCCGTCCAGCGCTGTGGGGAGAGCAGCTGGGACAGACCCAGGCCACGCAGCGCTGAGCACCTACTGTGTGCCGCCAGGGCTCGGGCAGCCCATTCATCTGCATAAATAGCCACATGGGCATCACCAGGTCACCAATTCCATTTTATAAGATGATTAACCCCAGGGCTCCAGAGAACCAGCTTCTGTAGGGTCCCTAACCCAGACCTTTTGTGTCACCCCCCCACGTTTTTTTCCTTCTGAATCTCCCTCTTTATGATGCCTTTGTTTTCAGAAATTGAAGAAATGCACTTACTGTTGGACACTTAATATTGGAAAGCACTGTGGATGGACCTCCATGGCCAGAAAGAAGGGGGGGGGTCTTGGAAGGGAATCCGTGGAGCCCCGGGAGTGTGATGACGTGCTGTCCCCTCTCCTTTGAGGCTGGGAGATGCCTCGTTCCAGGATGTGCCCAGAATAACGTTCACCCGAACACCGCTTGACATTGACGGTGACGGTGACGGAGACAGTCCAACCCCAGCTGGGGCCGGGAGGAGGAGGGCTGCGAGCCAGGGCAGGCCACCGCAGGACTGTCCACTTCGATAAAGCCCCGGCTTAGAAAACCCCAGACACGCTAAAGTGGATACTGTGTTGGGATTTACGCCATGCTCTGTGAGGGGCAGCCCCAGCCCCATAAATACATGTCCGAAATCCAAATGGAATGTTAAGGGCGCCAAATGGAGTTCTCAAAAGGACTGGAGCTAAGATGTAGTTTGCTGGCCCTTGATAAGCTCAGCCGCGCTTGCACTGGGGGAGACGGGGGGAAAGAGAGAGAGAGAGAGAGAGAAAAGAAATGGAGTTCAGATTTCACTGTATTCTCCAGTATCTTAAGATATTTTCTTTTTTCAATGAAAAGAGAGGAAGAGATTACCAGGCCTCTGGGTGTGAAGCTAGTTCTCATCTAGACACCTCTGCGGGGACAAAGGGATGCTGTCACCCACCAGCTAGAGCCCAGTCCAGGCTCCCGCTATAGCTGGTGGGCGTGGCCACCCGGCCAGCACCCTGAGAACCAGGGCTGATGTCCTTCCCCGGGTCCCAACCCCCAGTTCTGCCCTGGACTTTGAGCTGGCTGCCGCCTGCGAGTGTGTTTGTAGGTGGGGGGGCCGGCTGAGGGCAGAAGGCCACGGGGTTGGGTCCCTCCCGACCCTGCCTGGGGCCTGGGGGCTCTGTGCTTTCCCAACGGCTGGAAATACTGTTCTTCCGATGGAAGGGCTTTGTGACAGGTCCCAGTTCCTTCAGATTCTCTTGGCCCACTTCAAAGCAAGCTGAAGCCCAGTCCTCAGGGTTTCCATTTACTTCCAGGCACCGGGAGGGACTTCTGGCTTCAGAGAGTCCCCGATCAGGGTGTCCACAGGCTTCCCACAGCGTGCCACCCTGGAGAGCTTGGCTCTCAGCGAGGCAGGTTCCAGTGCCGCCAACGGTCAGGCCTCTGTCCCCTGGACCCTCCCTCCTGCTTCCCCTGGGGGTGAGGCCTTCGAAAGCTGGAGGCTGGGACTGGACTGGAGCTAATCATTGGGTCTCAAAGGCACCTTTGAGGGCAGTGTCCTCCGCCCTCATGGTGCCCTGATGGAGCCAGTATCACTGTCAGAGTCACAGCTGGGCCCTGCGGCATCTTCTCGTCCCTGGACGAGACAGTTATCTCCAGAGGACTTGCTGCGGCCTCACCTGGACCGACCACCTGTCTTTGGGTGTGTTGCGCTCAGGCCTCCTGAGTTACCTAAGAGCTGGGGGAAGTGAAATGTGAAAAAGAAAAAGCAATGGAAACCTTTCATTTTTTTCCCCTGAAAAACTATAATAGCAAATTTATGGATTTGAACATGAAAAAAAATTATATATTTCAGTAACAAAAATTTATACCTTTTAAGGGTTCTATCCAGGGAAGGTTAGGGAATCGATTGAGCTGTGGAACCATCTCCGTAATCTAGTTTTAGATTCCCTGTGTGTGCTGGAGTCATTCCCCAGGCCCCCGGTCATCTGCTGTGGGTGAAGGTCCTGTTCTGGACCTTACATATAAATGGAAGCGTCTGGCTCCTCTCACTTAGCGTGATGTTTTGTAGGTCAGGGCACATCCCACTGTCAGGGTGCGCCATATTGGATCGATCCACTCACCATTTGATGGATGCTCGGGCTGTCCACTCTCTGGCTTCTGTGAGCCTACGCACAGGAGTTTATGCATGGACTGGTCTTCGTTTCTCTTGGGTGGGTTCCAGGGAAGGGACTTATCAGGTCATATGGCAAATGTATATAGAACTTTTTTTAAAAAAAATCATCAAACTGTTTTCCAAAGTGGCGATATCATTCCACCAACAGTGTATAAAGTGGACCCTTCCATTTTTGATCCTTCCGTAAGCTGAATGGTGAAGAGATTTACTAGAGACTTCTGCATGTGAAATCCAAACATGGGACCCTGCCTGTGGGGAAACTGACACCCTGCAAGAGCGTCAACTTCGGTTCCGACGTGAGCTTCCCCAGCCTGCTCCAGAGCTCTCAGACCCCACAGGGATCCGGACCGGGGCTCCTTCTCCACCCCCCGGGCTGGTCTCCCCAGCCACACTCCCCTGCAGACTGTCACATTCCAAAGAGGATTCACTTTTACCACAAGTGCCCTGGGTCACACTGTTGCTAATTTAGCGACTTTTATTGGACAATGTGATTGACCCTCCACGGCCTGCCTTCAGATGGATTTATCACCTGCATTGATTGCTCTCTGTTGCTGTTCACCGCTTGCCAGCCAATGCACAGCCCTGCTTAAAAACCCGGGTAGCGTTTTGCCTTCTGATAATGATACTGAACTCCCTCCTCCATCGCCAATGACATGGTATTCCACTTTTTGAAGATGGACTTAAATTGCATAACTCCTTTTCCATGGTGATGAGAAAATAAATTACTTTTCTCTATCGCTATTCGGCTAAGTGCTTCTTAAATTGGGGTTTGGGTAGGTTTAGAAACTTTTTAGGTTTTTTTCCTGCTTCTTTTCTTTCTTCCGTGTTTTCTCTGGATACTCCAGGTGAGCTCCTTGGACCCGCGGCCTGGGCATCCTCCGAGAGCTCCTTAGCGATGCCCAAGCTCAGGCCCCGCCCCAGACCTGCCAACCAGCCTGCGCTTTAACAAGACCCCGGGGTGTCCTACCTACACGTGGAAGTCTGAGGCGCTCTGCCTGAACCAGGGGGCAGCAGAATGAGCTCCCCAGGGCTACCTCTAGCCAGCTGCCTGTTTTTACAAATAAAGTTTTATTGGAACCCAGCCACGCCCTTTAGTTTCTCTGTTTTCTGTGGCTACCCGGCCCTGCAGGTGGAGGAGGCAGCAGATGCCACAGGGACCTCACAGCCTGCGGAGCCCAGAGTGACACTGCTGTACCTTGGTGGCAAACATCTGCCCGCCTCTGCTCTGGAGGTGCCTTTATTTCTATTTACCTAGGTATTTTAGTGGGTTTAATTGGTAAGCTTTTTCTTCTTGAACTCTGCCCATTTATCACCCGAGACTTTTTTTTTTTAATCTTGTCAATCAATAATCCTGGAGAGCGACGAGGTACACAGCATTAACGCCGTGGGCGGTATTAGGAGTAATCTGGGATATTCGGGGGTGCGGGAGGATGCTCTTCAGGTCATCTGCAGATACTGCAGCTATTTTTGGTAAGGGACCTGAGCCGCTGCGGATTTCGGTTTTCAAGGAAGGTCCCGGGACCAGGGCCCGCCAGGTACCGAGGGGTGACGGAGCCTGGCTGTGACTCTGTCTGCATCTCTCTAGCCAATCATGGGAACTGACCACGTGCCTTCGGAAGCCAGGAAGCCCCACTGTCTGCCACCTGCTAGCTGGAGACCCAGGGATGCTGGTCCCCGTCCCAAGGCCTGGGGACCAGGGTCCAATGCTGTCATTCCCAGCGCAGGGCTGGGGAAGGTGGCTGGGAAAGGCAGATTCCCGGTTCCTACCCCGTCACACCGGGGAGGGCCACCCACATTATTGAGCCCCCCTCGCGTGCTCACCTCACAGACACACTCAGAGATGGGGTTTCATTGGGCCCCCGGCCCCCCAGCACCCAGTACCCCCGGCCCCCCAGCACCCAGTTGTATTTTGCACTGGGCCCCATGACGATGGGAACAGAAGCCAAGTTCTCGTGGCCTCCACTCAGCCTACAGTGATTGTCCCATGGATTGTCCCACGCGGTGACTTTGTGGCTTCTGTTCTTCTTGTCACCAGCCCAGCAGTGACTGTCTTCCTGTCCCCTTGCTTTGCTCGTGCCGAGGGGGGCAAGGCCACTCTGTAATGATTTCTTGAATGAAGCTCTCAGAGACGAGGGCGGAGGGGGTTTCAAAGTGAATTGGGGATCTGTGGCCGTCGGTGACGGTTTTGATCCTCACGATGACGTGCCGGTAATTGCTTTCAGGTGGCGGCACGTTGCCCTTTCCTCCTGCAGAGTCAAAGTGAGAGGTGGCGCTTTTCTAAGAGGGATGCTCCCTGAAAACACGGGGAGGTTGCAGGTCCCCAGGGGCTTTGGAGCCAGCTGGCGGGAGCCACAGGCCACTCTGGAAGCTTCCGATTGTCCGACTTCTCCCCTGGTCCCTTCAGGGAGGGACTGCAGCCAGTGACCCCGTAGGTAGCTGATTGAGTCTGAAATAGCTGCCTCCCCGCCCAGCAGGGACTGGAGTCAGGAACATTGGCTGCAATTTCTTTCCTCCTCCTCTTGGAGAGATTGTTAATCAGGAACCTTCTGGAAACAAAAAAATAGAAAGTCAAAAACGAGACCTGGTTTGCTGGACCCAATGGAAAACCACCACCCTGCCCAGCGGTGCCCAAAGGCCCCGGGTAGCAAGAGGACCTCGGGGTGACCGGTGGGGGGCTGCCCAGGTCTCAGATGCTCAGATGCATAACAGCAGGAGATACTTCCAGAACTTGGTGAGAGGTCAAAGGACACCTTCTGTACACACTGATGACTGTATTTAATTAAGCCTCTGTCATCAGAGCCCAGGTTATTCACTGAGCATGTGCGTGTGTGTGTGTGTCGGGACTGGGGCCAAATCACATCCATCTCTTAACTCTTCCCTCAGCCCCGTGTGGTGTGACCGGCTTCTTTTCACAAAGGAGGAGTCCAAGGTTCTCAGGGTTCACTGGCAGGAGCACCAGCTGAGAAGTGGCAGGGCCAGACTGCAATTCTGTCCGACCCCAGAGCAGATGCTGGGACCCCCCCCCCCAGCTTCCCTGGCTGACCCCCTTGAAAATGACCATGGACCCACCCAGCACTAGGGCGTCAGGAGTTGACCTTGGGTTGGAATGAACAGGGTTCCAGTAGCTTTGAGATCTCACCATCATTTCCCGGAGCGTAGCTGTGATGATTTCAGGTGGTAGACAGGTGAACATTTAAAAAAAATGTATTTATTGTGTTTAAAGGAAATATGCATTGCGTGTCTATTAAACCTGTGATTTCAAAGTGAACTCGCAGTTCTTTTCCAAGCACGAATGTAAGAAAAGAAACAGCGAGTCTTTTTAAATAAAAATAATGGTGTGGGTGAAGACGGGGTGGGGCTTGCCGTGCAGCGATTCTAGAAGAAACCTCTGGCCTGAGCATTGGACAGCCCGGCGCAGGGATGGGGTGGGCGGGAGACACGTGAGCAGCCAAGCTGGGGGTGCTGGCAAGGAGACTCGGTTCTGTCAGCCCCTCCTCCTCAGTGGAGGTGTGTCACCAGTTGAGAAAACCGGGAAACCTTCCCTGACTTTCAGAATCGTTCCTGAGATCATGCTCAAGAACCTCAGCACAGCCGGCGAGGCTCCACCTCCTGTGTCCATCATGGGGCCTAATCACACCCACAAGTGCACCGGCCTTGTCTTTGACTCTGAGTTCTCCAAGCCTGAACCTGCCCCAGGGCCTTTGCACCCACTCTTCTTTCTTTTTGGAACTCTTTACCCCAGATATTTGCATAACTAACACCTTCTTATTTCTCTGACCGCCTTCTGAAAGTGACCTTCTCTGTCTACCCTATTTAAAGTCCCACTCCCTGTGCCAGACGTCTGCAGATGCGCCCTATGAAGCGCCAGATAGTGATTATTTGAGGCACGCGGGCCGTAGGGTGTCTGTCTAGCTACTCGGCTCTGCCATTGGTGCTCAAAAGTCTCCACAGACAATCTGAAAAGAGCGTCCCTGGCTGTGTTTCAATATAACTTTATTTACAAAACCACGTGGACCCGCTGGCCGTGTGGGCCACTCCCTGCTCTGGGCAAGGGCCTCCTTCCATCGCAGCCGCAGCCTTCAGCCCACCTAAGGAACCTGTGTGCCCGACTCCGCCTCCTTGCAGTTAGGGGGACCCTCCAGGAGGCAGGGATGTCCACTTCTCGTTTAGGGGCACCGGAGGCCTGGGCTGCAGGTCCACTCCGTGGACATCCATGAGCCACGGGCCCTAGGCCCTGGGGCTGCACTGCGCATGCGCTCCTTCCTCACCTGGGCGGGGCCGGAGGGGCGGGGCCGGAGGGGCGGGGCCGGAGGGGCGGGGCCGGAGGGGCGGGGCCGGAGGGGCGGGGCCGGAGGGGCGGGGCCGGAGGGGCGGGGCCGGAGGGGCGGGGCCGGAGGGGCGGGGCCGGAGGGGCGGGGCCGGAGGGGCGGGGCCGGAGGGGCGGGGCCGGAGGGGCGGGGCCGGAGGGGCGGGGCCGGAGGGGCGGGGCCCGGGGTGACCCACCTGGAGGCCTGGAGCAGGTGCCCTGCCGCAGGGTCCGCAGGAGGCCGGAGAGCAGGCCTCGCAGGGCTGTCGCAGGGGCAGCACAGCCTGGGCCTCGCCGTGTCGGGAGGACCTGCTGCAACTCTGGGTGGAGAAGAAGGCGCCCTGGACCCGGGGAGCAGCCCCGACGGGCTGCGGGGAGACCAGGGCTGCGGCCACCGGCCACGGCAGCAGGTCGCTGGGAGAGCCCGGGCTGGGAGCTGGGGACCCGCTGGGTTGGCCTCCTGAGACCCGTGAGCAGAGGGTCTTCCCTGGGGTCTGGCCGGGGGTCCCTTCTCTGGGACTGAACGGTCGTGTCGCTGCCGGTCATCGGAGGGGAGCTGCCTGGTGACCCTGCAGCCGTGGTCCCGGAGGAACGGCCTCTTGGGTCCTCAGCTATGGAGATGCTGGGGGTGAGCATGGCGCTGCCTCCGCCCGCTCCAAGTCCCATCAGGCCGCCGTGGGGGGCTGAGCAGGTTGGGGAGCCCTGGGGGGAGTTGGAGGGAGGGGTCCAGCCCTGTGTCCAGGAGGCGCTTAAATAAGAGAAACTACCACCTGCACAGCTGGGGACGGTTCCTCTTGTCACCCAGGCCAGGAGGGATTTCCCTCCGACTGCAGGGCCTTGGTCCAGCCCCAAAGCCGAGGCCCAGTTAAGGGTGGAGGCGGAGCCACAGAAGGGCCATGGGAGGGGGAAACAGACCCTTATTTAGCACCTACTGTAGGCATTGATGCTGTCAGCACTCACTCTGCCCTGCAGCAGTAGGGGTATCCAGGTGTCTTGGTTCCTTGGTATTTCCAGTGTCTGCCTACCTCTTCCCCTGCAGTGGCTACTTAATAGTGTTCTTTAAATCTGTTCAGTTTTTACTCAGCCTGAACCTAAGCTGTAGCATCCAGAAAACCATGCTGTTAATAAAGTCTGTTCTCTTCTAATATATGTCAGTATAAATACAGAATTATTGAGTATAAATGCACAAGGAGGGGAGGAAACAGAGGCCCAGAGAAGGCTAGCCACTTGCCCAAGGTCACAGAGGAAACTGCAGAGTCTGGATTTGAGCACAGCTCCTTTCTGGACCAAGTTGTATATGGCAGCTTCTCAGAGGAAGGACAGGAGGAAGGATGTCCAGGCGTCCCACAGGCTGGGTGGACAGATTGAAAGCTTACTAAGATACAGTGCTGAGGCCAGACTGGCCCTTTCTTGGAAGGAAGAGGCAGCTTTGGCC